ACCAGGCAGTTCGCCACCGGGCAGTTCGCCACCAGGAAGCATCACCAGGCAGTTCGCCACCAAGCAGTTCTCCCCCGGGAAGTTCGCCACCAAGTAGCTCATCACCAARGCACRTCACCACYAGGTCAAACACGAGGTACTTAGCCAAAAAATTTTACACATCCCAAAAAATGGTACGTGACCAAAAATTGTTACATCAGTTATATATATATAGTAACTAATGAAGACTGGACACAAGGATTTCTGTCCTTCAAAGATTCTCAAATCTTTCCTTATGACATATGTCATATTACAAACAAAAAATGCAATCGAATGATAACTGTTAACAGACTCATTTCATTCGGACTTGACTCACCATCTCCAATGGTCACCGGTCAAACGCTTTGTACATTGTTGCCAGTGGCTCCCAATAAGAAATTATAGGGGAAAAGTCGGTAAACAATGATTTTTGTAGCATGAAACAATGCGACAGTAGGTTGCGATAGATTCAGAAAGTGAGAAAAGAGCAATCTAGTAGTTATATACTCTGGGTTGAGGCATGTTGTAGCAACGTTGTCCATGAATTTGATTTTGCCTTCTTTCGGATTATATCTTCAATGCTCGGGTTTAGTTGCGGCCAAATTCTAGGATTCAATGATTAGGTTCAACCAATGTTTTTGAATCGCTATTGGTTTGGACGGCTGGACTGTTTGGACTGTGAATTTTTCAGACAGCTGGTTCTATTTTATCTCAAATTCGGTCTCCGGGCAAAAATTATTGAATTGGTCAATGATCTGTTGATTTGATAGGTTGAACCGTTAATCTGTTCAATTCGTTTACTGGTTTTTGACTGTTTTTTGTTTTAATTATTATTTTTTAATTTTTAAGTTTTTTTATCATCCAATCCTACCCACATGGTACTACAGTTGTACATTGGGAATATCTCCCCATGAATGATAACATGCAAATGTGGGAGATGTTCTTAATGTACAGCTGTAATGAGGCATGGGTAGGAGATCCCAGTTCCATTATAGTACTACTAATCACAATAATCGCCAATAAACCAATAACACATATTTGACCCACTAAAATCACTTTTCCTTTGAGTTCAGATCTACTACCCACAAAGAATCCTATCCACACCTACCCATACATTAGTACAGCCCCACATTAAGATCTCCGGTATTTGCATGTTACCATTCATGGGGAGATGTTCTTAATGTATAGCTGTAGCATACTGTGGGTAGAAGATCTGGATTCTTTTCTCTTACAAGAATAACAAGCAAGAAACAAAAGGAAAAAACAAAAATAGACAGATGGAGGGCTGCCAAGATGCATGTATATAGTACAACATCATACAACATTGCGGGGCAGGCGAGAGGGCATGTATGCTAACCCATCCCGGTCTGTGCAAGCATGCCTATTAGCACATGTCTAGAACGGTCTACCCAAGAGTGTGTGTAAGGGTTAGTCTCACAAAACTATTTATTCTGAAAATCCCTTTTACTTTGGAGATGTTCAGGACCATATTAAAGTCTCACAAAACTTTCCAATATGTTGTGGAAAGAGTGTTAAAAAAGACTTTCGGGATGGAAAAAAAACCTTGTCCATTGACAAAATGCTAATTCTTATCAACTCAGTCACCTCTTCGATGCCTTAATATATTATGAGATCATTTAAAATTTCTAACAATATTCTAGAGGAAATTGACAGAACTCAAAGGAACTTCCTTTGTAACAAAGATAGAGGTAAAAAGCCTGTCCACCTTATGAATTGGAAGAAGGGTTGCACCCCAAAGAGTTGGGGGGGGGGATTGGGGCTAAGGAATCTTAAATGGACTAGTGAAGCGAGTTTGGCAAAACTAGGATGAATGATTCTCAAGGAGGATAATTTGTGGGTTAAAGTGGTAAAGGGTAAGTACTTTAATAAGGATAATTTTTTAGAGGCAAGAAAGATGAAAGGAGTGTCATGGCCTTGGAGAAACATCCTGAGTGCTAGGGACCTTTTAAGGAAAGGACTTAGATGGGAAGTTGGTATTGGTAAATCTATTAAATTTTGGAATGATAATTGGATTGGAGAGAATTCTCTAGTTGAGACTTTAACCCCTATGCATTAATTCAATGAAAATGAGATGGTATGTGATTTCCTCGATAAAGATAGAGGTGTGTGGAAGGAATCCCAAATTGGAAAATGTCCCTCCGAGTATTTGGAATAAAATCAAAACAATTTTTATTCCCTTAAGCCTTAGAGAAGATAATTAGATTTGGGGACTAAATCCAAAGGGCTTGTTCACCATTAAATCGGCATACAAACTAAAATGTGTGGAGGAGTCTTCAAGATCAAATTCAGGAAGTTGGACTTCAATGTATGGAGCCTTAAAATCTCGTTGAAAATTAAAGTATTCATGTTCTTGATGCTTAATTTAAGATTGCTTGTGAAAGATACTTTCAGAAAAAGAGGATTCAAGATTGATGGTGATTATTGTAGATGTGGTAGGAAAGAAAATATCAATCATGTTTTTATTGAATGTAGTGCTTCAAAACAAATATGAGATTTCCTCTATTTAAATTTAGGGAACTTAATTGGGAATAACTTTAATATAGGTGAATGGTGGACAGAAGTTCACAAGGAGGATATAAGTGAGGGGCTTCTTAAAAGAAAGGTCTGCCTTTGTTTTGTGGCATATCTAGAAAAATAGAAACCAATTAACTTTCAACAATAAAAAGGACCCCCCCTAAGGGACTTTCTTGAATATGAGGAGTTATCTGAAAAACCAAGCCATCAAAGAGTTAAGAAGTTGGAAAGCCATCTTTTGGGCCCCTTTGAATCATAGAGAAATTAAAATTAATTTTGATGCTTCTTGTCACAGGAATGGTAGGTGTG